ATAGTGTAAATACAAAGAGTGTGTTAATGATAATTTGAAACACATACAGTAGAAGAACTTTTCATATGATATTAAATTAGGTCTTAATTTATTCTTAATTTATCTTCACAAGTTGAATGCTTTTCTGGAAATTTTCTGCTATTTGCATATAAAACCTTTATACTATTTTCCATCTACAAATATTTTAGATTCCAACATTAACTAAGAAATTATGTATAAACTTTTTTTTTTCTCTCAAATATAAGCAGAGACATACCTGTTGTTAGAAGACATATGATATATGTTCCTGTTACCAAAAAAAAAAATGCCAATGTTATAGAAACAGACAAACAGTCATATATTTAGGTGGGGAAAGCAAAATAAAATTATAACATTAATAAAAATTATATATTAAGACATACTATGTGGTGGAAATTTCGTATTATGCTTTACATGGGGGCCGCCCAGAAGGAAAAATATAAAGCTGTCCAGAAAATTATCCAACGCATACTCCACTGATTGTAATCTACGACGTTAAACAAAGCCCAGTGAAGTGATATCAAGTCAAATACAAAGTAAAAAAAAAAAGGAAAAAATTGAAGGGATATTGAGAAGTTAAGAGCATCAAAACAGGGTATTCTTCTTCCTACTCTGCATAAAGTGAAGATGTTGACAAGTTTCTGAATACTTACATCACCTTCAATTGAAGTCCCCGGGGGCAGTCGTCGTACCAATACCAATAGATTTCATAGCCCTCTAGCAGCTTATGATAGATATCAGAAGCAGAGAGGCCTGTGATATTAGACAGCCCAAACGGAAACTCGGCTTCAATTGTGCACGACTCATTGAAATCAGATGCCTTTGTTTGGAGAAAAAAGTAGGTATATGGAGAGGAAGATCTATTGGTGCAAGCTGAGGCATCAACATAAAGTGATGAGTTCATTGGTGTATTGCAATTTAGAACATACATAGTGTTGTACTTCTCAAAATAAAATCGGACACCAAGAAGGGGACTACGAGGAATGGAGAACTTATCCCTCCGAAGACTGGTATCGATCACTCGGACTGTACCAGAACTATCATAAAAAGTACCATAAAAAGAATCTGTTTCTTGTATATTCTCAACAAAGAATTTGCCCTGTTCTGTAACGAAAGTTGTGCGATTATTCTCGCATACTAGTTCATACCCTGGAAAACCACACTTAACAGGATCGGTATTCAATCGGAAAGGGTATGTAATACTAAGGTTACCGCAAGAAGAAAAAGGGGGGCAAGGCTTGTATTTGCATCTAGCCATACAGGCATCAGGACAGAGAGACAAAGCAAGGGCCATAAGGCTGAAAACTAAAATCAATTTTGTTCTTAACATCCTAAAGATTGAGTAGGACACAGAAACTGTTTACAACAGATCGCAATTAGTTACCCAATTCAAAGTGAGCAGTTCTCAGAGGTAATAAAGCAAACGCCATCAACGCGTTGAATCGAAACTGATGGGAGGAGAACGTGCAGAAGCAGTCGACTTACTGAAGAGAGGAAACCCCACTGGCTTTAGCTGACTTTGATTTTGGAAGAAATTTTGATGTGACATGACTTTAAGGAATCCTAACTTAATAAGGGTGGCTCAATAGTTAAGATTTTAAGATTTTAAGGTAAAAATCTCATGTTCAAATTTTGAATTGAATGCAAAAAGTTTCAAAAATAGGAGAATGCTATCGTCTCTTGTACAGTGCATAATCAAATATACCAATAAAAAAAAACGACGTGTAGGAATCTTTGCCTGTGGAAATTGGTGCATTTTTTTTTTTCCAACAAAATTGGTGCTATTAGCTCCCAAAACTTTTTGAATAATTCAAAGAGAAAATTGAGGAACTCTCTTTTAGCTGTAGATTTTGTTAATAGATTTTATGGTAATTATTTCCATGACAATAACAATTAAGCAACTATTTTGTAGCGGTAAAGATTAAAGACAATAATAAGGAATAAATTTTTTATATAATTTTTATATATTATTAAATAAATAAATACACTTAATATAATAAATCTCAAATGAATAAAAAATTAATTATTTAAATAAAATATAAAATTATATAAAAAAAATAATATAAGAAAATTATTCTGAAATTATTTTTCCAAACATTAGTTTGGTTTGATAATAACAATTTATAGATGTTTCTACCTTAAACAACTAATAAAGTAAAGGATTGTAGAAAATCAGGTACCAGAAAAGATAGCAGAAAATCAAGATATACTAATATTTTAAAGTTTCAAAATATTTTGATTTTGATTTTTCTTTTAAATTATTTGAAAAAATACCCCTATAAGTTGATTTCAAATTACATATCAATTATTAGATATCAATTTTTTAACTTTTTATTAACAACTATAATTATCATTCATTTTTATCAACTAAACCAAACAGAAGCTAAATAAAAAGTTCTATAAAATGCTAATTTGTAGCAATTTGTAGTTAATAATCCCAATTAATTTTAAACTATTGTACTAATTAGGGTTGATGAAATGAAAGTTTAGTGTTATTTTCATGATTTTTGAGTCACATTTGAGTTGTCTTCAACACATGACTTCACCCTCTAGTCTCGTCGAATATTGTTAAAAGGCCAAAAAAAAAAGAGGGATTTTTTTTTAGGAACTGTCCATATGTAAATAGAGAATATAATAGGGAGTTGTGTGATACGTGTCATTATGCCGAATGCTACTGTTAGGTTTGCTCTTAACATCCTAAATGTTGAACAGGAGAAGATATCTTACGCTTTTATGCTTTTACAACGGATGATAGAAATCCAAATTCTATGCTTTCATGTTTTAATTGAACCTGGGTCTTTCTCTGAGGCAATGAATCAAACACGTTACACGCATGCTACCCACACACGTGATGGGATAAATCCATCTTACAGAATTCAATTCCAGAACGTGAGGAAGACGTCCAAGTCCAACTGTCCAAGTTGCTGACTTTGAATTTTTTAAGAATTAATAATGGAAATTTTGATCTGACATGACCTGTAGGAAGGTGCTCCTTAACCCCTAACTTACGCAATATAGAAATCAAGAACGATTCCTAAATTATTTACTTGATATTTTTGTTCAGTCCCCGATCTACTTTTCAATGGAATTGTGATTTGACATGACTTGCAGAAAGGTGTAGTTTAACACCTAGATTACGCAGTATAGAAGGTAAAAATTATCCCTAATTGCTGAATTATTTACTTGATATTTATAAAGAAGTAGTCGTCCACAAGGGCCCTCAACAAGGGAACTGCGAGGAATGGAGCACATATCCCTTCGAAGACTGGGATCGACCAATCGGACTCCATACTCTGTCCAGTTCATAACAAATGATTTCCCGTCTGAGCCAAAACCAGAACTGGTTTGTTTATATTCACTGATATTCTCAACAAAGAATTTGCCCAGTTCTGTGACCAAAGTTGTGCGATTATTCTCGCATACTAGTTCATACCCTGGTAAACCGCACTCAACAGGATCGGTATGCAATCGGAAAGGGTATATAATACTAAGGTTGCCGCAAGAAGAAAAAGGGGGGCAAGGCTTGTATTTGGCTCTAGCCATACAGGCATCAGGACAAAGAGACAAAGCAAGGGCCATGAGGCTGAAAACGAAAATCAATTTTGTTCTTAACATCCTAAAGCTTGAGTAGGACACAGAAACTGTTTACAACAGATCGCAATTAATCACCCAATTCAAAGCGAGTTCTCAGAGGCAATAAAGCAAACACCATTAACGCGTTGAGTCGAAACTGAAGGGATGAGAACGTGCAGAAGCATTCGACTTGTTGAAGAGAAGAAACCCCACTGGCCTTAGTTGCCTTTGATTTTTCCAAGGAATTTTGATGTGACATGACTTGCGGGAATCCTTGCCCGCAGAGAATTGGTGCCATTTTTTTTTTTTTGTCGACAATATTGGTGCTATTAGCTCCCAGACTTTTCGAATAATTCAAACGAGAGAAAATTGAAGAACTCTTTTTTTAGCCCTAGATTTTGTTAATAGATTTTATGGTAATTATTTCTATGACAATAATAATTAAGTAATTATTATGTAGTAATAAATATTAACGATAGTGATATAAAGATAATTTTTTTATATGTTTTTTTAATATAATTTTTATGTATTATTAAATAAATAGATATATTTAATATTATAAA